TTGATAGACTGAACTTCTGGAAACAAATTGCTTCTGTACTATTGTCTGAAAATAAGCCAAAGAACTCTGGCTGAAGCCCAATCTAGGGAGTGATTGTCCAGGTAAAGGCTAACTTTATTTTATTTTATTTTTTTTAAAAACGGCTCTAAATGAATAAGTCAAAATGAGTCAATAGCCCAGGGGTGTCAAACGTAAGGCCAAGGGGCCATTATTGGTCTACCAGAGACTCTGACCAAAGTAGATAAGAACAATCAATTTTTTTTTTTTTCAAAGTGGGTCAACAGTAAAGACCTCCTGCAATGAGCTAGCAACAATTTTTAAACTTTACACATTTCTTACATTTTAAGATGGTCCATTGATGGACTTGCAGGTATATTTAAACTGTACAGAAAGGAAGTTTGACTGGTCCGGCCCATGTCTCCTGCAGTGTTAAGGCTTTGACATCCCTGCAGCAACTTCTGACATGTTTGACCATATTGGCGTACTCTAATCTACTCTTACTCGGGTTGGGAGCGAAAAAAAGAAGAAGAACAAGTGGCTATGTTTGGCACTGAGGGCTTTCCATGTACCCTGAAATGTTAGCGGGCACCCGCCTGTTTCCAATCAGTGCACGGCCGCCAGGTGAGGAGTCTTAATCAGCGTCACCTGTGGAGGTTGTGGCTAACAACGAACAGAACTATAGGTGTTTAGGAATATATAAGCTGAAGAGCTTGGACATATAGCGAGTTTGCGCGTCATGGAGAGCAGGGTTCGCAGTGATTTGTAAAGGCCTATCTGGCATTATAGTTTTAGTAAATTAGCGTTATTGTTAGTTTTGCTCTGACTTGTAACAAAATGTGTGAGGACTTGGCTGGAGCTGACTCGTTGCACATAGCAGACTATGCAGTTTTTGTATTGATGCTGCTGGTGTCCGCATCCATCGGCTTATACTGGGCTAGGATCGGAAGAAGGCAGCCAAATACCCGGGAATTCTTAACCGGAGGTCGAAAACTCACCGCTCTGCCCGTCTCCCTGTCACTGACCGCCAGCGTCCTGTCGTCCATCATACTGATATCCATTCCGGTGGAGGTAATGTGGCGGGATTGGCCTCAGATTCAAATTCTCTCATTGCACTTTCATT